TTATGCACAGGGAGACAGCTCAGGGGGAAGGAGTGTATGGAGATAACTATCAGGAGGCAGTGAGAGGGGAGCTGTTGCCTTGTGGTGAATTGTGGTCAATGTCATAAGACAAAGTGTAGGTGAACTGCTGTATGGAAAGTGAATTTGCTCTGTAAATCTTCACCCAAATCACAATTTAAAGAAAAAAATCATAATTTTAGAAAATTTGTATTGATCATTATGATCTTGATAGCTTCCTAATAGTTAAAAAAAAAATTCTGATGAGGTAGGTGCTGATATTAAAGAACATGATTTTTTTAATACTGTGTAATGAAACGTGTCATAATTTAGAAGATGTACAAAAATCAGTGAAACAATAATCCCAGTGATCAATGCCTATTACAATGGCATGCAAGGATAAAAGATTAAGTCTTAGGGAAGATGGATAAATGGATTTAAAGAAAACAGGTTACAAAAAAAGTTCAATGATATGGTTTCAAATTCCACACTGGAATTACCTTTTAAGAAATAACACTTGTTGAGTTTTGGTGTATTATCAAAGAATAGTCACAACGATCTAAAAAAGCTACTAAAACATCCCTCTCTTTTCCAACTACATAACTGTGAGGCTGTATTTTCTTCACATGCTTCAACCAAAACAACATATTCCAACAGACTGAATGCAGGAGCAAATATGAGAATACTGTCTTCTTAATACTCTGTGTGATGAAGTAAGTTGGAATAAAGCAAGCCTACCGGCTTAAACATTAAACAGATTTGCAAAAATGTAAAAGAAAACCACTCTTCTCACTAAGACATTTTTTGTTTTGGAAAAGTTCTTTTCCTTTACAGTAATGAATTGATAAATATTTAAAAAATCTCTTAGCTTTAAGTACCAACAGGGTAACTATCAGTAGATAAATTGTAAGTTATGTAAACAAAAACTCTTTGACATTCTCAGATTAAAACATCTGTGAATCTCCGCAATAGGGAATATAAAAGAAATTATTTTTAAAAATATACATAATATAAAAATATTCTTAGAACTGAAGGACACAAATTTCTAGATTTAATTTCAACCTATACAGGTAAATGGGATGAAGGAAGAGTTTACGTGAGAAGAAGACAGTAGAGGACAAAGGAGCTTCTTATCCCGAGGCAGGGTAAGAAAATATCAAGGGCCATGTAAAAAAGTCCCATCTTTAACTTCACCTTCCATATTAGGAAGCTAAAAGATAACCTCTAAAACTTCAAAAACAAGAAAGAGCAACAGAAACATTATTTTTGATGTTTAATGTTTAATTTTACTTCTCGTGAGGTAAAACCCAGAGAAAACTTTAAAAAACAAAAAGATGGACAGCTATTTCTGAAGAACAATAATGGACTGGGCAGGCAGAGTAGGAGGGCACTTCTAATTTTTATTAAGAATACTAAACAGCATTTTTTACTTCTCAGCAATGGTCATGTATTACTTTGATAAAAAATTAAAACTGAAAAAAACTAGCACTGCAAGGCTCAACTTGTTAATTTGATGAAAGTCACAAGCTTATTCTCATCTGTGAAAAATCACCTGCTAAGGGCCCTTCATAAAAATTATAAAAAGCAACAGTTAAAACTTGGCAATGCTGTGAGCTGTTCTCTGCTGCCTTCCCTGTGAAAGGAGCAGAGGAGTGGACGCACAGTGGGAGTGCAGACGGGAAGGCAACAAGCACGCCTTTACAAGGCCAGTTGTTCTGTAATGCAACTGAAACCATACCTTCATCTGTCAAGGGCTCTGCCTAAGAGAAAGGCAGCTCCCTCTGGCTAGTGGTCTAGCAAGGGACATGTGGGCAGCCTAAGGGGCTAGGATACCTATGTAAGAGTCCACAGCAGCATTCATACATCATGAGTCAGCATCTCTGGGATAGTCTTCAGCTATACAGGAGGCACCAGGGGAGATACACTTGACACATATGGCTTGTGGACATCTTTCTAGTGCATTTAGAGTTCTCAAAACTGTAAATTTAGAGCTGTGTTGGGCAATCCTACTTCCATAGTGATACTGCTTCGGAAACCCAAGGAGGGGTCGCTATGAGTCGGGGCCAACTCGATGGCAAACAACAACAACAACAAAGATCTCTAGGGAGCTCTGGTAGCGTAGTGCCTAAGGCACTTGACTGCTAACCAGAAGGCTGGTGGTTCAAACCCACCAGCCACTCCTCAGAAGAAAGATGGGGCAATCTACTTCCATAGTGATACTGCCTCGGAAACCCAAGGAGGGGTTGCTATGAGTTAGGTCTGACTCGATGGCACATAAGAACAACAGCAACAAAGACCTCTAAGTGTATGACTAAAACTAAGAATTAACATTCTGTTTTTAAGTCCAGTTTAACGATAAATACCATTACTTACCGAAAGAAATGTCTCAATGTTCTCATGAACGAAGGAAGCGATATCCTGCCAGTCCAGGATGTCTCCCAGCCAGCTGTTCTGACGGCTCACCTGCATCCTGTGTCCCCTGTGCCTCCCAGAATGTGTGACATTCTAGAGAATAAAAAGCGCAAACATGAACTTTCAACCTCAACCTAAGGAATTAAGAGTGTAAATGTCCTATTTTGTTCTAGGTCTACTAAGCATTTCTTTGAATATTTAAAAGTAAGAAATTTTGCATTATTTGAAGAAATCAACTAAGAACTCTACCTAAAAACCTGAAATATAGTATATTTCCTATTTATATTCCAGGTACCATATCTGAGCCTAGTTCAGATGATTGCCCCCTAAATATGCTTGTGAACACACTTTATTTCTCAATACACACAACAGTACAGTAACATGGTACAAAGGTTAAAGTACTTTGCTTCTAACCAAAAGGTGAATCAAAAGGTTCAAACCCACCAGCCACTCACTTTGCAGGACACAGATGGGGCAGTCTGCTTCTATAAAGGTTTATGGCCTTGGGAACCCTATGGGGCAGTTCTACTCTGTCCCACGATCTCCGAGTCGGAATCAACTCAATGGCATGGAGTCTCTTACGCTAACACAGCGTTTACTTAGCGTTTACTTCCATTGTCCGTTTATTTGCCTCTGCCTTTTTACTGGTCTCTCATTTTCTCTTTTATCTTCCTTTCCTTACCTCCTTAAAATATCTCACAAGATAAAAAGAACAGAGTCAGAAAAAAATATGAAAAAGAATCAAGAATAAGAGGAAAAAACCTAACTCTTTTGTTTGGAAGAGAATTATTTTGGCAGACATGGAAGAAAAAAAAAAAAAAACTCACTGCCATCAAGTCAGATCTAACACACAGCGAGCCCTTCTTGGATTTCCAAGGTGGTATCACTACGGAAGTAGATTGCCCAGTCTTCCTTCCGAGGAGTGGCCAGTGCGTTTGAACTGCCAGCCTTCTGGTTACCAGTCAAATGCCTTAGGCACCCCACTGCCATCAAGTCAATTCCAACTCATGGCAACCCCCACACACACACATGCACACACACGAGCACACATACACACACACTGTGTTTCCGAGGTTGGTAAATCTTTACGGAAGTAAACTGCCCCATCTTTCTTCTATGGAGCAGCAGGGGGGTTTGAATCACCAAGCTTCCGGTTAGCGGTCAAATGCCTTAGGCACAATGCCACCAGAGCTCCTTAAAAACCAAAAAACCAAATTCACTGTCGGGTCAGATTCAACTCATAGCAACCCCTCCTTGCGTTTACGAGGCAGTATCACTATGCAAGCAGATTGCCCAATCTTCCTTCCGAGGAGTGGCTGGTGAGTTTGAACCGCCAGCCTTCTGGTTAGCAGTCAAGTGTCTTAGGCACTATGCCACCAGAGCTCCTTAGACACAGGGATAGCTAAATTCAATTGAGACAGACTAACTGAAGTGATTGTAGGAGTTTAAGTATAGAAACAGAGGAAAATTATGAGCATCTTTTCATGTGTTTTCATTCTCCGACTTTTGCTAATGGAGGAGTGACATTAATCTCCATTATGCAATAGCAGAAAGACATTAGTCCTAGAGAAAGGGGTAAAGAAAGCACTACGCTTAGCACTGACAAGCCTGTGCTTCTGAGGCACTGACTGCCTCCAGCACGCAACGATGCTAAAACACAGCAAGGACAGGGAGAGCTGTGTGCGAGCAGAAGGTAGTCGATAATAACCTAATTTTTTGATGTTTTAGCAAATGGCAAGAAATATATTCTACTTAGAGGATGCCTAATTAGCTTTAACTCTCTCTTTGAAATCCACAATAATCTATACTCTTCCCTCAACTGAAGCCAGGGCAAGAGTACATAAGCCCACACAGGTCACTAAGTAATAAATTCAAGTTCAAAATCCAACTCTCACCTGCCTCCATCTAAAGTTAAGGGGTTTATATATGGACCCTCTTTCTTGAGAAATATCACCAACTCTGCCCCACTTTCTGTTTCTCCAGCATAGGCCCTGCCAAACCCAGTGTAAAGCAGGAGTGGGTGTCACCTTTCAAAAACACCTTTTTTCTACTTGATGAAAAATGGTATTATTTTCCATCACAAATTATGAAATAATAATTCATAAGCACAAGCAGCACATAAATATGATTTAAAGTAAAGATACCTGCTACGGATTGAATTGCATCCCCAAAAATATGTGTTGTAAATCATAACCTCTGTATCTGTGGTTAAAATCCCACCTGGGAATGGGTTCTCTTGCTCTGTTAATGAGACAGGATTAGTGTAGGGTGTACCTTGAGACAACTGAAACATAAGAGATTAAACAAGCAAGGGAGAGAGCAGAGATGACGAAAGACGGTGGCCAAGTCACATGAAGACCGTCCAGAAGGAGGAGCTCAGAAGAGACAAAGACCTTCCTCCAGAGCCCAGAGAAGCCCAAAGCCTTCCCCCAGAGCCGAACTGGTACTTCAGCCTCCTAAACTGGGAGCAATTACATCTGTTTGTTAAAGCCGTACTTCTGTTATACCAGCAGCACCAGGTAACCAAAACATATGTCTAAACTTTTGGATCTATTTTCATAGCCTCAAAAAGAAAAGATCTTTTCTAGAGCTGTGCTGTCCAAAGCAGTAGCCCCTAGCCACATGCGGCGACTGAGCACTTGAAATGCGGCCAGTCCAAAAACTGAGATATTCTGTTAATGTAAAATAGACATCAAATTTTGAATCAGTACAGAAAAAATAAACATTAACTCATTGAATTTTTTCAATTGATCACATAATGAAATGAAAATATTTTGAGCATACAGGACTAAGTAAAATATATTATTAAAATTAATTTCATGTTTGTGTCAACTTCTTTAATGTGAATATTAGAAAAAGTAAAACTACTTATGTGGCTTGTACTCACTTCTGCTGTATAGCACTAGTCACAGCACATGTCAGCGATAATGTGCTGAGAACAGAATACCGACACACGAGAAGGACTGACAGGTTCTACCATGAAGACAAACAGCAACTCAAGCTGAACTTCAAGGACCTAAGGTTTAAGAAATTTTAAAAATTTCAAAAGTAATCCTATAGGGTAGATGAGGAGCTCTGGTAGCATAGTGCCTAAGGCATGCGACTGCTAACCAGAAAGCTGGTGGTTCAAACCCACCAGCTACTCCTAAGAAGACAATCTACTTCCATAGTAATACTGCCTCAGAAACCCAAGGAGGGACCACTATGAGTTGTGATCAACTTGACAGCAGTGAATTTGTTTTTTTTTTTTTTTTTGGTTTTTTGTATAGAGTAGATGAGTCTATAAACTAAAAGGACTCGATTAGTTTAAAACTGAAATCCTTAGCCAACATGACTTACCTTTACAAACCAAGAGTGATACAGTCTGTCCCAAAGTTCAAGTACTTGCTTTTCAATGACAGCAGTATTGTTGACCTTATCTCCTAAAATTTTATGAAGCTGGAAGAAACACAGATATAACCTGGTTTAACATTTTAGGCAACAATCCAGTAAAATTAATACATGCAGGAATCTTTACATGTGTCCTAAATCAAACTAAAATGTTCCACACTATTTAATTGCTTCTACCAATTTTTGAAGGTGCTCTGGTGGCACTGTGGTAAGGCATGTGGCTGCCAACCAAGAGGTCGACAGTCTGAACCCACCAGCTGCTCCATAGGAGGAAGATAAGGCAGTCTGCTTCCATAAAGATTCATAATCTTGGAAACTCCATGGGGGTCGCTATGTGTTGGAATCGACTCAGTGGCAGTGGGTACCCATTTTAAAAAGACGATGGTTTTTAGTTCCACTTCATTAACACAACTGTTCACATTTCCCTTCTCCTCTGCAACTTTCTGCCTATTGACAGAAATTCTATGCCTCCTTTTGGAACACATGCTTTTCCAACTGCTGGCCTACGTCTTTATATTTTAATGGCTTCGTAATAGATCATTTGAGCTCTGATATTAGTATTTAATCATTACCCAGTCACAGGACATATATTGTTCTCAATTTTTAATGTTGTAAGTAACACAGCAATGAACATTCTTATACCCTGTTTTTCTTATTATTACTAATAAGATACATGTAATCATACAAAATGCTATGCATTGCTAAACTGCCTTCTGTAAGGATTATATCAATTAATACTTACAAACAATGAATGAATGAACCAATTTTCTCAACGACTTATGGACTGATAAAATTTTAGATTAAACAGATATGAAATGGTAACCTATTGTTTATTCTTTTCTTCTCCAGTGAGGAGAGTGAGTATTTTTCCATGTTAGTTTACAATGTGGAGTTCCTCTTGTGTGGCCTATCCACCCCTCTGCCCACTGGGCAGGCCTAAGGTATATCTGATCCAGTTCTTTGACATGTTTGATGTAAATATATCTGCCTGATGTTTTCCTTTATATCTAATTGATTTATTCATAACCAAACACAACTGAGTAGATATAATAAAAATCCATTTATTTCTGCACAGTATTTTACAATTTTACAAACAGCTTTCACCTACATCAAGTACTCTTTATACCACCATCAAGAGTTAGACAGAAAAGGAAGTTTTCTCATCTCCTTTGGTCTTCTGATGAGAAAATAGATTGAGAAAGGATGCATAACAGGCCCAAGGTCATGAGCAGAGAATTAAAGCTTTCTATTCTAACTTTCTTGAAACTATAACATCTATAACCTATGAATAAACAACCTCTAATTCCAAATTACCCAAAATTATCAAAAACCACAATTAACCCTAGTCTAATTTGTGTGTATAGGTAGGTACATGTGTATAGTTGCCATTGATGGTGCTAAAATAGGTATCTGCAATGAACAAGTCGCTGGTCTTACAAAATTCTATCCTGAAATCTCTGGCCTTCTTTCTATCACCAAGGCCATATTTTCCAACTACCAATGCTTTTTCTTCGTTTCCAGCATTCACATTTCAATTGCCTATAATTATCAATAAACCTTGAGTACATGTCTGATCAATTTCAGACTGGTAAATATTTTTCAGTTGGTAAAAATTTTCAGTTTCTTCAGCTCTGGCATTAGTGGTGGTGTGTAAATCTGAATACTGGTTGTATTAACTGGTCTTTCTTTTAGGCATATGGCTATATTATCCTCTCATTGATAGCGTTGTACTTCAGGATAGATCTTGAAATGTGCTTTTCGACAATGAATGTGACACCATTCCTGTTCCATCTGTCATTCCTAGCACAGTACACCACAGAACTGCTCAATCGGAAATGGCCCATCAGTCCACTCAGCTCACTAATGCCTAGGATGTGGATCTCTATGTATTCCATGTCATTTTTGACAACTTCCAACTTTCCCAGATTCATACTTCATGCATTACACATTCTGATTATTACTAGGTATGTACAGCTATTTCTTCTCATTTTGAGTCACACTACATCAGCAGATCAAAGTTCCCAAAGCTTTAGTCCATCTGCATCATCAAGGTCAATTCTTTTAGGTCTCTTTAGGAGGCAATCAGGTGTACTCTGAATGCCTTCCCACTTGCGGGGCTCACCTTCCACACTGCATCAGACTACCTGCTGCTCCTCGTAAGGTTTTTCATAAACACATCCAGGTCCTTCTTCTTAATCTGTCTCAGTCTAGAAATTCTGCCGAAACCTGTCTACCATGGGTGACCCTGCCCATATCTAAAATACTAGTGACACAGCTTCCAGCATGATAGCCACCTCCACAGTATGACAAACTGACAGACAAACTTATTTAATCCGTATGCTGAGCAAATAATCCGAGAAGATGGACTATGTGAAGAACAACACAGCACTGAGACTAGAAGACGACTCATAACAACCTGTGATATACTGTGGCACAACCTTGCTTGCTGAAAGTGAAGAGGACTTGCAGTACTTATTGATGAAGATTAAAGACTACAGCCTTCAGTATGAATTACACTTCAACTTTAAGAAAAACAAAAATCCTCACAAATGGACCAATCAATAGCATCACGACAAACAGAGAAAAGACTGAAGTTGCCACAGGTTTCATCTTACTTGGATCCACAATCAACAACAATGGAAACAGCAGTCAAGAAATCAAACGATGTACTCATGCAAATCTGCTGTAAAAACCTCCTGAAAGTGTTTAAAAAAAAAAAAAAAAAAGTAGCCTAGAGGACCGAAATGCGCCTGACCTAAGCCATAGTATTTTCAATTGCCTCATATGCACGCGAAAACTGGATGATGAATAAGGAAGATGAAGAAAAACTGATGCATCTGAATTGTGACGTAGGGAAGATTAATCGATACACCACAGACGGCCAGAAGAATGAACATATGTGTTTGGAAGAAGGCAGACTGTTCTTTAGCAGCATGGATGACGAGACTTCATCTCGTGCTTTGGCCGTGTTTTCCAGAGGGACCAGTCCCTGGAGAAGGACACCATACTTGGTAAAACAACTTCAGTGAGAAAGAGAAGAGCCTCACAATGAGATGCAATGACACACTGCCTGCAAGAAGGGCTCACGCACAGCAACAACCTGAGGATGGCTCAGGACCAGGCAGTGTTTCATTCTGTCACACACTGGTCACCTGAGTCAAAACTGACTCAATGGCACCCAACAACAATTCACTTCATTTCTTTAAATTTGTCAGTTAGTAACTTCCTATTATCAGCTCTTTCTATCATTCTCTTATCAGTTTCTGAGACACCCCTTTAACCAGAAGAGCCCAAATACCATGACAGTCAGTCAGCATCCAGTCTAGGTTGTCCACACAGTAGCCTTTACTACAAGCATGTATTATTTCACACTGGAATCTCCTTTGGCATCTCACTCTAGCTCAACAGTGACTAAACTCTAAAAACCGTAATTATGAAAGTAAAAGAGGGCCAGGCAAAATTATACAGCATATTATAAAATACTGTTGCCAAAACCATGGTGCTAACACCCACAGCAGAGCTTTACACACCCAAAATATCAAACAATTGACCCATCTTAGCATATTCCCACAATTATTCAGCCATCACCATAATCAATTTTGGCACATTTTCATCACTCCAAAAAGAAACCCCATACCTATCAGGATCTCTCTTCATTTCCCCCTAATCCTCCCAGCCCCTGGCATCACTAATCGACTTTCTTTCTCTAAGATTCATCACCTCTGGACATTTCACTTATGGAATCACATAATCTGTAGTTTTTGTGATGACTTGTTCACTTGGCATCATGTTTTCAAGGTCCACCCATTTTGTAACAACATCTCAGTACTTCACTCCCTTTTATGGTTAAATATTTCATCACTGGATATACCACATTTCTCCCTCCCATTCATTTATCAGCTGATGGATATTCAATGGCTCTTTTTAGATACCATCCCTTTGTCTTCTAAATCAGCATCATTTATGTTTTATAATTTTTACTGTTAGCAATGCCCTTCCCTCTTTAGCTTTCTCTCCTTTTAGAATCTCAGGCAAAAGTCTCCTTACTTACTTACCTTTGTTGTTGTTGTTAAGTGCCGTCGAGTCGTTTCCGACTCACAGCGACCCCACGCACAGCAGAACGAAACACTGCCTGATCCCGCGCCAGCCCCACAATCCCTGCTATACTTGAGCCTATCATTGCAGCCACCATATCAATCCATTTGCTTGAAGGCCTCCCCCTCCTTCGTCGACCCTCCACCCTACCAAGCATGACATCCTTCTCCAGGGAATGGTCCCTTCTGACAACATGACCAAAATAGGTGAGACGAAGTCTGGCCATTCTTGCTTCCAAGGAGCATTCTGGCTGCACTTCCTCCAGGACAGATCTGTTAGTTCTTTTAGCAGTCCATGGTACTTTCAGCATTCTTCACCAGCACCACAACTCAAAAGCATCAACTCTTCTTCGGTCTTCCTTATTCATTGTCCAGCTCTCACATGCATACCAGGTGATTGGAAATATCATGGCTTGTGTCAGGCGCACTTTAGTCCTCAAGGAAATATCCTTGCTCCTCAGCACTTGAAACAGTTCCTTCACGGTTGACTTTCCCAATGCTACACGTCGTCTAATGTCCTGACTGCTGCTTCCGTTGGCATCAATTGTAGAACCAAGCAATGTGAATTCCTTGACAACCTCGATCTTCTCTCCATTTATTGTGATGTTGCTCATTGGTCCAGTTGTGAGGATTTTTGTTTTCTTTATATTGAGACGTAATCCATACTGCAGACTGTATTTTTCAACCTTCATCAGTAGGTGCCTTAAGTCATCCTCACTTTCAGTAAGCAAAGTTGTATCATCTGCATATCTCAGGTTGTTAATGATTCTTCCTCCAATCCTGATACCACGTTTTTCTTCATACAGTCCAGCTTCTCGGATTATTTGCTCAGCATATAGATTGAATAAGTGTGGAGAAAGAATACAACCCTGACGCACTCCCTTCTTGATTTTAAACCATGTACTGTCCCCTTGTTCTGTTCGAATGACAGCCTCCTGGTCAAGGTACAGATTCCTCATGAGGACAATCAAGTGCTCGGGAATTACCATTCTTCTCAATGTTATCCATAATTTGTCATGATCCACACAATCAAATGCCTTTGCATAGTCAATAAAACACAAGTAAACATCTTTCTGGTTCTTTGCCTTGAGCCAAGATCCATCTGACAACAGCTATGATATCCCTTGTTCCACGTCCTCTTCTGAATCCGGCTTGAACCTCTGGAAGTTCTCTGTCAATATACTGCTGCAAACGTTTCTGAATTATCTTCAGTAAGATCTTACTTGTGTGCGATATTAATGATATTGTTTTATAATTTCCACATTCTGTGGGATCACCTTTCTTTGGAATGGGCACAAATATGAATCTCTTCCTACCTTTACTCTGAAGAATTTAAAATCTGCTTCCTTCAAATCTAAGGCACACTTCTCCATCTACCCAAAATTCCCATACTTAGTCCTCTCCCCAAAAAGGTAAAAATTCCACAATAAAAATTTCTCTAGATAGATAAATCAAGAATTAAATTCCACGCTTTCAGCCGAGTAAGTTAGCCAATATCTTCATGGAAGACTTAAAGCCCTCTACAATGGCTGGGACTTCCTTCCATGACAGTTCTGAGGTCCACATCAACTTGCCTATCTTTCACTTATTCAACAAATACATAATGCATGTCACAAGACTGGACCAGAGAGCATGGCATCTAATGAACTTACTTGCTACTATCAGAAGAATCACTAAAGCACAAATAATTGAATCAGACCCATCTTGAAAAAGAAGTAAACCATCAACCTCTCAGGCTGATCTGTCTCCTAGTAAAAGTCACATGATTATCCAAAAGCTGTAATTTCATTTTAATATGCTGCTTATTAACCTGTAGACTTAAAACTATTATAAATGTGAAAGCTATTCTATACAAAACGTCCATTATGTTTATCAAAGTAAAAAGTCACCACCAATGAAGGCCCTGCCAAGAGAAAGACAAAAGAGGCTCCTCCTTTACCTTGTGTGTTATCCATTCCCGTCCATACTGATACACATTGTTGGCCGCAGAATTGAGGGCCCTCTGCACCACTTGAGCCTCAGGAAGCCAACTGATTTAAAATAAACAGAAAGGGGGAAAGGTACATTTTTAATGTACTGCACCAGTAACTCTTTGAACTTGATGTACTTAAGCAATCCATAACAAATTATTGATCAGACATCAAAACACACACCCAAATGAATCGTAGCCAGACGTGCAGGTCAACTGGCCTAATTCTAACAGCTTCTAGCCCCACTTTCCTTTCAACCCTCCCTTTCATCTGCTCCGCCTGGTTTCTCTGCCCACAGTGCCTAGGCTCCCTTTCATTCTTTACTAAGGGTGTAAGCACTTGGGGCAGGTGTTCTCAAATTGAGAGCCACGGACCGACTACATCAGAATTACTTGGAAATCTGTTAGAAATGCAAATTCTTGCCCCTAACCTAGCCAACTGAGTGAAACCTTGAGGCCGAGAGCCCAGCAATCTACACCTTAACAAGTCCTGCAAGTTACTGTGATGAATGCTAGTTTAAGAATCACTGATCTAAGGAAATTATGAACTGAGGAAGAAAATAGAAAATTAAGAGGGTGAATAATTATTTTCACTTACTTATCCAGATGTGAGGAGCCCCTGAGCAAAGTTCCAACTATGCATGGAATGCAGCCCACAAGCTTTACTCCTGGTGTAGTGAGAATAATCCTATTTTCCTGGTAACTAAGCAGGCTACATTTAAAAAAGCCCACTGCCCTCAAGTCAATTCCAACTCTTAACAACCCCACAGGACAGAGAAGAACTTCCTCCTACAGTTTCCAAGGCTGTAATCTTTACAGCCACATCTTTCTTCCCTGGAACAGCTGGTGGGTTTGAACTGCTGACCTTCTTGCTAGCAGCCAAGCACATAACCACTGCACCAACCAGGCTACATAATATGCTTTCATCAGCTATCATTTACATATACCTAATGCCGTAGTGCCTAAGGCATTTGACTGCTAACCAGAAAGCTGGTGATTCAAACACACCAGCTACTCCTCTGAAGGAAGGTTGGGCAATCTACTTCTGTAGTGATACCACCTCAGAAACCCAAGGAGGGGTCGCTATGAGTTGGATCTGACTTGATGGCAGTGAGTTTGGTTTGGTTTGGGAATGCTTTCAGAAGAGAAAATATTTTCATATATCCTCTAAATTATTCCTTATGATATTGAATACTAGAGATATTGTGACATTCTCAGATATATCAGTTCTGATTTCAACTCATCAAGAGCAATGCCAAAAGGCCAGTAATTTGTCATCTTCCTGAGTCCCGAATGAAACACACTATAGAGCTGGTATATGGAAAGCAGTCACATAGCTAGTAATAGTAATAGTGAGTCAAGCCACATGTGCAATAGCAATTCACAGCAGCTTGATGTACTTGTAGTCATTTTTACAGTAAATCAGAATAGAACATTTGCTTTTGTGTGTGTGTGAGAGAGAAAGACAGCCACAAAGAGAAAAGTCAAGCACACTGACCAGAAAGGAATGATGCTTATGAAAGGGATAGTCTTCAACCAGAAAAAAGAAAAAAAGACATTTTGTAAAATTTAAAAAAAGTAGAATGCGAAAGCAGTGGTGCTTAGAATTTTATTTTATTTTTGTTCAAAACAACATTCTTACTTTGCCCACTCCGGGTGATTTGCTAGCGTTTCATTAATCAAGTTACTGGTGACTTCAATCATGTGTACACTCTCTTGATGGACCTGTATTAGGAACAACGGGAAGAAAAGAATCTCAGTAACAAATAAACCCAACTTATTATTTCTTTTCCTTGCCTATTATCAGAACAGTGTGTCTAGGCCCAAATCATTATACATCTTAATTCCAATCAATTTAGAAACATACACATAACAGGTGCTAAACATAACATCCTTTGATACACAGTGTGAGAAACAACAAGAACATAATGGCTCCTTGTCTTCAAGAAGTTAACAACATACTTAAGGAAAAAGATATATATACACACACGTATGTACACATATATATGATAATAAACAAATGTATTAATATAATTAGTTTACAAACTTGTGTATACAGAACAAAGCCAACACTATGCCAATTTTTAAAATTGTAAGGCAAATAAGCAACCGAGTGTTTTTTGAGTTAAAAAAAGGCAAGCAAAATGCATTTCAGAATCTGTCTTGCACAGAAACCAACAAAAGAAGAAGAGAAAATTTAGCCACAACACCCAAACAAGGAAAAGAGCATAACATAATTTGCTATACTTTGGAAAACAGTCATCAAGGAAACAAAGCAGTTGGAAACAGAGAGAAGAGGCATAAACCAGCTCATTCCTAAACCGGCCCCACCCCCAGAAGCCATACATGTGAGCTGACAAACCACTGAGGTTCATATGTAAAAGGAAATCTAAAGGGAAAAAAATAACTAAGAAGACAGCTGTATCCAGTACATCTTTTTTCCTTTCCTGAGGAAGAAAGAAAATTGTCACAGGGAGAAATGGACCAATCAGAGGAAAGAGGACAACAGGGCCCAGCGCTCCTCCCTCTCGGCTTAGAAAGGATCACTTTGGATGGTGTGTTGAGAACAAATTTAGGAGGCAAAGCGGGAAGAAGACATGACAATGATTCAAGAGCAAGATGGTGGCAGCTCAAGCAAGGCTGTAGTGCTACTGATGCTGAGACATGTCTGGATTCAGAATATATCTGTTGTTCATTGATAACTGGGAGTTAAACAAATCTTTCATTCCTGAAATAAACTTCACAGGGTTATGGTGTACTATACATTTTATTGCTGGATTTAATGTTAATGATTTGTTAAGGATTTTTGTGCCTTTATTCTTGAAGGAAATTGCTCTGCAGTTTCCTTTTCTTAGATGTCTCTGATTTTGCTATCTGGCCAATACTGGTCTCATAAAATTAATTGGGAAGTGTTACTTTTCCTCTATGCTCTGAAAGAGATTGTTTAGGACAGGATAGGCATTATTTCTTCATTAAACATTTGACAAAATTAATAAGTGAAGTCATGTGGGACTGACCTCTTCTCTGAGGAAAGGATTTCAAGTATTAATTCAATTTCTTTTCTTAATATTGTTGTTGTTATGTGCCGTCGAGTCGGCCCCGACTCATAGCGACCCCTCCTTGGGTTTCCGAGGCAGTATCACTACGGAAGTAGGATTGCCCAACCTTC